GGAATGTACTTCACGTGCTGCCGGTCACATGATCACAAAGTTAGCTAAAACTAGTTCTATTGCATAAAATAAAAATAAAAAGCAACAGTTATTCTAGAAAAGATTTCTTGATTGTCAGGAGAAAAAGGGAGGAAGAAAAGTTGATGAAAGCTGTTTTCTCAGCGATATCCGTAGATGTAACGAGAAGACTTCTTCTTGATCCATATCGTGCGATTAAAGCCATTTGTTAACTATCCCTCATTCTATGGTATAACATTAAAAATTTGTATTGTTAATGTAGAACCATTTATAATAATTACAACAACTATGACCGGGAAAGAATTTACTAAGATAAAAAATACTTGTATTGGAAATCAATAAAAAGAAATTTGATCTCCCCCCTCGAAAATTCTGGCTTTTTTGCGCATCCACTAATAGTCAATAACGTTTGCTAATTGTGTCCTGTCGCGTCAGCAATGTTTGTGTTTGTGTCTGAAACAGAAGACTAAAAATCAAGTTAAAACATAAAACTGGTCAGTTTTACACCACTTAAGTTTTCAATTAACAATTACAGAGGTCTGAGAAAGAAGTCTTTAATAATATACCTCATGATAATCTGTTCTAATCAGTGGTAGGTAGATTTAGCACGAATAAAACATGCGCCACAATTTGGATTTTGTTTAATTCTTGACTGCTCTATCGAAGGGTGCTCTATCTATCAAGAGTCTTTTTTGTTTTTCAGAATGGTAATCAGCATTTTTATCGCTTTAGTAACGAGTTAAAGAAAACACGAAGAATTTCCTGACTTACATAGTTTTTGAGCAGCAGTGAGCCTCTTCTTTATCTTATTATTATTATGCACGATCCGATTTGAAAGTCGTCTGCAGTACTTGTAGTTAACCGATGCATCTTTCACTGGAACATACTATTTTCAACAGGGTTTGGGTAGTAACGTTGAAGACGAAAATACTTTTTTCGTAATCAATTACCAGCCTCTGTTCCATTAAATATTCGGTTTTTTAACTATGCAAAAAGGTGAATTCGTCTTTTTTTCCTCCTAAACAGATATATATGACCATAGGAGAAAAATATTTAGACGTATGAGTTGAAATTTAACAAAAGCAAAACTTTTGAGTTTTTGCGAAGACTAATAATCATTGGCATCATTGAATCATTATACAATGGTTTCGAATCGAGGAAACCGAAATGACTTTAACCCATCTGTAAGGGTTTCTTTTTTTCGGAAAAGAATTTGTTCCTTTACCAAACCCGATTTATTAGGCAATGTCAAGGTAACAAAAAGTTTTAGATGAAAATATCAATCAAAGACGTCAGATCTCTTCAAAAGATTATTATATGGAGCATGAGTTGATTCATCCGGCTTCTGAAGCCGATGACTCGTTCAAGGCCAGCAGAATGGCAATCCCAAGGAGACAGAGAATATCGATTGAAAAGCGGTACTGCTTTGAATCAAATTTGAATCAATCAACACATAGAAGACTAGATTCTTCTAATCGATTTCATCGACAGCAGTCTTTCTCTTACATTTGAAAAACAAAGTCAGCTAATGATTAGACCGAATATGAAACATTCAAAGTATGACCATGACGATATCAATAACGTTGGCAAAGATTTTAGGTTAGATAAGTTAATGTAAAGCCATTTATGATGACCAGGAAACAGCTTGGTTATTAAACGAACATTTCGCTTCAGTCTGTACTATATCAATTAGCAGACAAAATCCTCCGAACGACATTCGAGGCGCTTACGTATCCTTACCGCTACTTTAGGTTTCTTCCAAGAGGTTGAAAGAATCTTATCTCGAGTTGATGTTAATAAGGCTACCGTCCAAGTGTAAATAATTGTTTATTGCGAGAGTCTTCATCGATTATCACTGAAAATGTTGCTCACATTTGTCATAGCTTAATTTCAGCTTCCTCTTTTCCTGAATTTTTGAAATTAGATTATGTTACAGCATTATTCAAAGATGGGGATAAAATGGTGCCCAATAACCACCGCCCAATTACAATGCTGCCAGCCTTGTCAAAGATCATCGAAAAGGTTGTTTATACGAAATTGTACGATTATTTGAGACTGAACAAACTTCTATCAGTTTTCCAGTCTGGCTTTCGAAAGAAACATTCAATTGTTCACAACTGATTGAACTTGTTCATACAATATATGAGGATCGAGCTTCTGATAAAGATATTGAGGTTGAACAAAAACCCTCGTATAAGAGGTCGTCTGTATACTACTCGTATAAATAGAGCGATACAGAATGTAATTGCACAATCTCAATCGATGTGCATCATATCTGACAGACCAGCAAAGTTTACTTTTGCACTTTTGTGCAGAAGTGAAATTTGTTCGGTTCTGTCTTGTATATGTACATGGATTGTCCTTGTGTTGTACTAGCTACATATTCAAGCATCGAATATTATATTAGCCCAAGAAAATGAAAGATATTGAGGTTGTTTTCTATATCAGCCTCTCATTTGTGAAGCACTTTAAGAAGACCTTTGGCAAAGCCTGACACAGAGGATTACTTTATAAATTGAGAAAAATGAGTGTTTGTACCGAACTAGTAGGTTGGTTCGAAGATTATCTACTTAATCGTAAAATCATAATAGTAGTTGGCGCAAACAATCGAATCTACTTCGGATCAATTACGGTATTCCACAAGGCAGCATATGGGTCCTCTTTTATTTCTTATTTACATTGATGATATTGGACCTAATATGACTTCAAAGACGCACCTGTTCGCTGATGACACACTGCTTTATCACCGTGATACTAGTCATAACAGGGTCAATTGTACCTTGAACAATGATCTTGCTTTAATCTTTCACTGGTCGCTACGATGGCTTTTAACACTAAATTTCATAAAATTTGTTTTATTATCTTTTTCTAAACCACCATTGCCAGGAAAACTGTAACTAGCAAGTCATGTTCTACTCTCTAAAAAAAAATGGTTTATTACGAAACTTAAAAGGGTATAGAGAATTGCAACCATTTCTATACCCTTTTAAGTTTCGTACGAACCGAGGTTCTGGCGTTCAGCTACGAAACCTCTATTTTTTTATTGATAACAAAGGTTTCGTACAACGAGTTTCGTATTAAACCCTAGCAAAAGAGGTTTCGTACAAACTTGATGAGCATATTTTGGCTACCTCTCAATTTCCTCAATCAGACCTTTTGTAATTATGATTCTTACCTAGCTGATTTTATGTAGTTTTGTAAAGCTCTCTCTTGCGGACTGTATAACGATAGTAACCGCAAGTATATTACAGACAGATTTTTCGATTTAATCTCTATAATCCATGCAGAAAAATTTAATATTTAATTGGAATTATTTATGCGAAATTGATACGTGTATTTTCTTAGGAGTCACTGCACGAGTGAGACAGCTTTTTTGCGTACCAGCTGCTCAATCGATGTTTGAGTTTATGGCTCAACATTTTACCGTAGGTAGAGGCAACATATATAGGAAGATTCCCAAAATTTTTTCGTTCAGACTCACTTCGTTAAAAAGTTATAGAGCTTTTGGTAAAAGCCTTAAAAATAGCCTAAAACGATACTTTTATAAAAGTCAAATTTGTGATGTTTATATCTTGGTCTAGGAAGTTGATTAAGAGCTCGTATTTGCAGCATAAGTAGTCGAGGTCGAATACTATTTATAACCAAGAGCATATGCAAAAATAAGTTTTGCATATGTGCGAACATATGCTCACAAGATGGTAAAATCTTGCTGAGACGAACAGTTTGACGTAATGTTTTTTAACCTTAAAACTTTCTTATTGCATTGAGTGTTACTTATATCCATTGTACAAGTATATCTGTACTATAAATTATGAAATCGATCTATACAAGTCTCTTGGTTGATGCACGGCTGAGCTCGAAAGTCAATAGAAAACGAAAAATCGCCTAGTTTCCACTCGATTTTCTCGTCCGATAGTGTTCCAAATGTTGGAACTATAATGCCGCTGTGATCTATAGACCCAATACTATTCATGCCTGAAAGCCGTTTTTTGGAGGATTCACATATGGCTCTGGAAAGGGTCTCTGAAAATCCGTTTTTTGAAGTTGACTTACGAGGAGACATTTCTAACTGATCAATCGCGTTTTTCACCAAAGCTAGTGAGTTATAGGTTATCGACCACGCTGATTCCGAATATCCATATGAGACGGACCGCTAGACCTTTCTAGAGCGGTTTTCTAGAAAACTGGTTTTCCAGAAACCTCGAAAAATCTCCGAAACTTTCCCTTTAAGTCACGATTATAGCCCATGAAATTATGATCAAAATGAGACATATCCAACCTCTACATGACCTATCTTTGCGAAGTTATAGAATTTACAAGAAAAGCCCTAAATTTTCATTGTCAGCTCAAAGCCACAGGAATAAGAAGAAATTCATTTAAGGCTTTTCTTGTAAGTTCTATAACTTTGCAACTTGGCCGATTTTCTCCTGCATATATGCAGTTAGCAGAGCCCAGTCTTTAAACATTATTAATTAAAGTTACATGTTTTGTACTTATATTTTCATATCTTCAAGAAGTTTTAAGAGAAAATGATCAGTAATATTCTACAGAAATAAGAATTAAATATACTGTTAGTATGAAACATCTCGCGATGAGATCGAATTTTTGTACGTTGTAAAGAAAAATTTGAATCCAAGTTAAAAGACGTCGTTTTGCTGCCTGAATTACGCGTATTTTCGTCCAAGCTTTCTCATCCTCATCATTGTAGTCACTGTCGGACGATTGGACGAGAATTTTATTCTTGAGTGGTTTGGAATGGACCGTCGGTATATGTATCGGTGGCGAACCTCGTACCGTAGATCTCATTATGAAATCATCGTGTAAAGTGTCTTCTAATATTGATGTATTGTCTTTCGTTCGATGATTTCTTAATGAGTATCACTGCTTTTTCGCTGGTGAGTTAGTATCAGCTGTTTCTTCGTCACTTAAACGTTCAAGAAATTGTTTTCTCGCCGAATGAGCATTCGAACGCTTCTGAGAATTTATCTTCGATTTGGTTGCTGCTGATACCTCGTGATCCATTGATGTTGTAGAATTACAGTGGATTTAGTTTTCTTCCTATTCGAATTTATCTGAGCAAATTGATTTTGTACCTGTTTTCCAGTTATATATTGTTTTGTTGTGAATCGTTTCGAGCCATCTTCCTTTCTCGCATTTCGCATACGTGTTACCGCTTCATCACTCGTTACTTTATCTCCGAATTTCTCTCCTTCGTCAAACATACTCCTAAGAAATAATTTAATATCTGGATCAATCGCTTTGTTTTGCCGCTTTGGACGAAGGCAGTGACCTTCATCCTCAAAGTAAAGCATATGTTTCGGCAGAAGTGGCTGATCTGTCGTTATTGTCGTCACCTGCGGTTGTGTACTAGTCAGTGTTGATAGATTTGTGTGCTGTAGTTTTTGGAATAATTGAAAACGTGCAATGTCATCCGATGTTTTGTCAGTAGAGCTTTCCAGTTCGTGGAGACCGGCAGCAATATGTTCAAGCAGTTCATTTTCAGACTGAAGCACTTTCGTACAATTATCAACCGGGCAAAAGTAATGAGTACTATATTGACGGTCTTTTCGTGGTTTTGATCTCTGTTTATTGTCGTTTAACCGTCGGCTTATAGTTGTGGGTGCCGGTTCAAACGGTTCGATAAGCTTCATATTTGGTTTGACCGATGGATTAGAATACGGAATAAATAATCCATCCACGATACCAGATGCTTTTCGAAGTACCATACCGTTCGGAGTGTAGTGAATACTTCTAACAGAACTGATTTCCGGCAAACGAGTTTTTTCAGTGATAACTGCGGTTTGATCATTTTCGGCGACCGCAATCCAAAGATTTTTTATACCACCACAGTATTGTTACCAGCATCAACAAATGCTCCCTTACGCATCTTTGCACTACCTGTCATGCGATCGGATACATCCTTGCCTAACTGGACCTCCGAATAATCTCTCACAAGTAATTCGAGTCCAAGTTTGTTATGTAGGATTCTTTCGGATTCAGGCGTCGCATGTCCACCAAGAACACTCGCATTGTCTGATCTATTTAACAGTTTCTTGATTTGTGGGTGACGTTTCGCAAACTCCGTTGCTATCAGGTGACCGCCGGATAATGTATCCAACTCGTTTTGGCTACATCGTGTGAGAGCTAACATGTATGTTTCCGTTTTATAGCTGTCTAAAAGATCGAGAACTTTCATGAATAGAAGAGAAGATCTCCAAAAAATATTACCTGCTATTTCTAGGTTATTCATCGTGAATGATCCAACAAGTACAGACATGCCTTTTTTGCCAAAATATTTTGATTGTCCTTCTCTATGTTCTGTACGTAGTATTTTTTGAGCCCAATCTATAGTCATGTAGGCACAATCATCTGACAAATTTTTAATATCATTTGCTTTGGCGGTATTTTGCTGGACTGAACAAACTATATTCTTATTGCATTGAGTGTTACTTATATCCATTGTACAAGTATATCTGTACTATAAATTATGAAATCGATCTATACAAGTCTCTTGGTTGATGCACGGCTGAGCTCGAAAGTCAATAGAAAACGAAAAATCGCCTAGTTTCCACTCGATTTTCTCGTCCGATAGTGTTCCAAATGTTGGAACTATAATGCCGCTGTGATCTATAGACCCAATACTATTCATGCCTGAAAGCCGTTTTTTGGAGGATTCACATATGGCTCTGGAAAGGGTCTCTGAAAATCCGTTTTTTGAAGTTGACTTACGAGGAGACATTTCTAACTGATCAATCGCGTTTTTCACCAAAGCTAGTGAGTTATAGGTTATCGACCACGCTGATTCCGAATATCCATATGAGACGGACCGCTAGACCTTTCTAGAGCGGTTTTCTAGAAAACTGGTTTTCCAGAAACCTCGAAAAATCTCCGAAACTTTCCCTTTAAGTCACGATTATAGCCCATGAAATTATGATCAAAATGAGACATATCCAACCTCTACATGACCTATCTTTGCGAAGTTATAGAATTTACAAGAAAAGCCCTAAATTTTCATTGTCAGCTCAAAGCCACAGGAATAAGAAGAAATTCATGTAAGGCCCAATCTATAGTCATGTAGGCACAATGATCTGACAAATTTTTAATATCATTTGCTTTGGCGGTATTTTGCTGGACTGAACGAACTATATGGCGCGATTGCTCAACAATAGCATCGCGTGACTGTTCAAAATCATATGTCAATTCGTCTTTAGTTTCTTTATCAGTTAAGATGGTAATATTTTCTTCAATATCATCGAGCAACTGTGCGAGAGCGACGCAATCTTCGCAGACGAGATTGTGATCATGGCCGGATTTTTGCTTGTACGGATCCTTATTTTTTTGACTCAAACAATATACAGTACAATGACTAGGGATTGGAGTGTCGACAGAACAGTGCATTCGAAAGCGACTCTTAGATATTGACTAGATGTTTTGATTCGACTAATCAGTCTCTTACGTTCGGCTGACGACATGAGGAGCTTTTGACAAACAAATTCTAATTTTTCCCAGGCGTCTCGCGCTGCTACAGCAAAATCGTCTAAACCGAACAGAGCTTTTTGTTCGGATGCATTCAGATTCTCAAGAATATAAAATAATTTTCGATCACTCAGCGGTGTGAACTTCAATTCTTCATAGTGCCATTTGTATTGAACAATAACGTGTCTTCTTTTTGCTTGGAGAACTTGTTTTGGGATGGTAAGAACTTCACCGCTGTCTAGTTCAAGTTCTCCATGTCCCCACGGTATAGATACCAACATTTCAGTTTCTACCAGCCAAGTAATGAAGTGTTCCGTTAACGCTGGCGAGATATGAGAGCGTATAACGCATTTTTTGGGTTCTAAATGTAATGGTGTAGCCGTGGACAATCGTAAATCTTTCGCTAGGTTCACAGCATGTCGAGTACAGCCAAATTTCTCCTGTATCTCATTGTATGTCCAGTCTTCAGGTAACAATGACAAAATTCGAATTTTTTCCTGGTATGGCAATTTCTGTT